TCAACAGTCCAGTGGGCATGACAAACAATCTGTTTGGGTAACTCTAAATCTGCAGCTAACAAGAAAGCTGGCCAATAAATAGCATGGAACCTGAAAGTCAAAAAAAATATATGTATGGCATTATGAACTGTACACAATCATAGGTAATCAAAGATTACCGTATAAACTTACCTATAAGTCAGACTTATAGTGGGAGTTAAAATTTGGTCCAAAACTCTATGTCCAACTTATAGGCGAGATGTAAAAAGATTTGTATTTTAGAAGGTCAATCTTTCTAATATAAGCTTCAAAAATACAACCGACTTATAGGTGAGTTTAATATACGGTATATTGCTCAACTCAGTGAATCTTGTATTTAAACAAGCCAAGGTCTGAACTTTAACCTGGGACACTGACACTGAGGGTATTCCATAAACTCCCCAACTTCTTTAAGGTGAGCAACAATTGTGTTCATGAAATAAAAATATTTATGATTGTTCATAAAATGTATGGTGTTTTGAGAATAAAAGACAAATTCACAACAAACTGGAACACATCAAATCCTACTAAATACACTAGCTATAGTAAAACATAACAGAATACACTGTAGTACAATACAGAAATCCCTACTTGAGTATATCCTGGCCCACTATCTGGTAGTCTGGTGGCCAGCTCTGCAGGGAACCAGGGTATCCCACTACTGTCAGGTAGTTCATCAGGGCATCCAACCACACATAAATCTAAAAATAAACCAGAATTGACAGAAACAATCCACAGGAAATATATATTGTTGGGCGAATTTAAAACGGGGTAAACTTGTTTTCAGATGTGAAAGAGCACATTTTCAGTATTGTTTAGAGCACATTTTTAAAGCATTTTAATGTTTCATCTGCATAAATTTCTTGTGCATGTATAACTTCTTGTGAAATCTTTACTCTTCAATACAATGTCTTTTCTTCTAATCACTTTACAAGCATTAATTTTTTTTTAATGAAAAATGCAATAAAATTCACATTTCTTGATGAATACATGCAGTGTTTAACATCTAGATCCAAATTCTAAGAATAGCAAAAGATATCAGAAGAAAATGAATAACAAGATAAAAAAAAATTCTCCTGGTAAAAAAATACACAAATGTAAGTCAATTTGTCATGCAATTTCATGATCAGAGACCTTAACAGAAGGAAATTTCAAGGTAGACATTATTTCTACTGCCTGAATTAAGTCTCTAGGGAGAGCAACCAGCACATTAACTGTAATTTTATGAACAACTTACGGTTTGAGAGGAGTCCCAGGGACAGGAATTCCCCAGGATAACCTGGAGCTGCTCCGAGACACGGACAAATCGTATAGATTCCTCAGAGCTAAGTCTACCTGGGATCTCTTCTCTTCTGGGTATATCACTACAGAGAAACATAGCACACAAGGATCATGTCAATCATGTTTATCATTATATACAGTCAAACCTTGTTATTTTTAAAATCAATAGTATCTATTTTTGCTTTGTTAAAACTTTGAGATTTACTGAGGAATGAAGATATGTGTGTAAGATTAAATTACATAAGAACAAAAGGCCTAACACTGAGTGAATCAGGTGACCTACAAAATGTGGCACCTTCAATTCACTTTGTTATAGATCTTGAGATTTGAGATATCATTGTTTGAGATGTCAAAGTTTGACTGTATTTCAATTTATTCTATATCATACTTTATAATACATCGAGCTACAAGGCTATGTTCTTTACTAATTACACAAGTTAATGTGGGTACCTCCAGTGTTGAGCCAGTCAATCAGCTGTTTCTTGAAGCTGGTCAGTCTAAACATGTAGTTTTCCTCAGACATCCACACCACTGGATGCCCACTGATGACCGACACCTGTCATTTAGAAATAATTAGATTCTTAAAAATAATTTTCCAATGGAATAACTTTCTCACAGTAAAAAAAACTGAAAGCCAACAATATAAAAATAGACTTGTATAGAAGCCAAAAATCCCAAAAGTACAAAAAAAATACTGATTTCAAATGTATGGATGATAAATTGTGAAAATGGGTCAATCAAATATCACACTTTCAAACAGGAATCAGTATAAAGAGAAAAGTGAAAAATAATGGATCCATATAAAACATTGTGCACCAAAACCTGTGCATTGCATGCCAATAAAATTTCAGGGCAGTGGTAAAGAATTCTTGGGGAAAAAAAATCCTGCATGTAATTCAAGAAATCTGAATCCAAGCTGAAAATTGTGATAAGTGTTTTGATATACACATTCAATGAATTATCCTCAATTTTACCTATATATTCCAATCCTTACTGATGCATGTACATATTTATGCCAATCTTGTTTCTGTACCTTCTGGTTTTCCCCGGACTCCATTTTCTGATCACAGACCTCCTCTTCACTTAGGAATTCCTCGTCTGATATCGAGTACCAGCCTTCATACTTCCCTTTATAGATGAAGCCTTTCTTTACTAGTGTTGTCTACAAAATAGCCATTCTTCTATCTTCATTTACAAAGTATTTGGTGAACATAAATATTTTACAATGATCCAGTAGCAAGTGCTCCTATTTTGTAAAACTGGTAATAAAACTTTTTGATTCTTTGATATTTTTTTTGAAAATATAAGGATTAAAACTTGTTTCTTGCATTAAACTGAATACGTTTATTTCGTAACTTCATGTGTATTAGTGTTCATTCTGCTTTATTTCATTATCTAAACATGTAGGTGGGAAATGGAACCTTTACATAAAATAAACAAAAGTGCAAATCATGACTAGCTTCAAACTTATCACTCTCTCTTCAAACTATTTTATACAAGTACCAATATACATTAGGGCTGTATATTTCAATATATTGCAATACAATCTCAATACGATTTTGTAATATCGATATACAAGTGTGTGTAGATTAAGGAATTTTGTATAATATAAAAATGGACTTGAAAGTTAGTTAAACTGAGAGATATATGTCTAAAGATATATAAATGATATAAATATACATATATTATCTGTGTGCATTATATCTATTAAAACTGAGATATATACTGATATATAAATGAAATAATTATTCATATATTGAAAAAATTTCACAAAGAAATATGTTGGTATCAATAGAAAGGCCTTGTCGCTAGGAAAACACATGAAATCTGAGAGCCATAGCTTGAACCACTCAAAAGTAATGGGCTTTGTTAAAGCTTTTGCGGACAAACAGACAGACAAAAGGACAGGGTAAAAACTGTATGCCCCAAATTTTCAATTACAAGGCTAAAAAATATAAAAAATAAATAAAACTTTATCCAAATTGCTTATTACCTTTTCTCTCCTTTCATATAATAACATGATTAATGTCATTTCAGTTACTTTATTAACAACATAAAAATTTTGCTTGACCATGGGATGCTTACCCATAAATTTTCAACAGCTTTTTGGTGTGTTTCATCTGTTGTTCTTATGAAATGACTGTATGATACACCTGCCCTGTCAAACAATGCCTGGAATACAATATAAAAAAAGTTTCCAGCTGTTTTTAAAATCTATTTACCTTCAACTTTGCTTTCAATTTACCAAAAGTACAGTGTAAATATATGCAGATCAACATTTTCAAGGTGGCATATTTTGCCTTGTTTATGTACTGAATTAGCCTATACATGTACACTTATATATTTGAAGAGTTCAATAATTTTTTTTTCATTTTTTTTTTTTTCATTTTTTAGTCTACCAAAAATAAAAATATGACAACTCTGACATTATTTTAAGCTTCCACACTTAGAATCTCAATATTACATGCATCTTATCACTGTTGAAAAAAATAAAATAAAAAAGAAAAATAAAATAATTTCCCTACCTACCTACCCATAGACATATAGACATACATGTATCTGTTGTCAATATTCATAAGGTTACTCCTATAAGATGCAAAAAATAAAGATTGCATGTTCTTGTACTTGTTGCTTGCTGAAATTTATACCTTGAATTTGCCAGATATTTCATCACAATACAACCTTGGAGTTTTATTGTGTTTATCTGCAGAAGTCTGAATCTGAAATCATAAAATACAATATATATTATGTTAAATTTATAACAGGTATGTAAAATAAAAAAAACATAAATACCCCATAAATAAAATTCTAATAAGACATATCTTAAATTGAACAGTCGAACCTTCAGTCCATGTTCATCAGTTCCAGTTGAAAATATAACTTCCTTTTCATGAAGTCTGTGAAACCTGGCCATTGCATCTGCTAGCAGCGCTGTATAAAGGTGTCCTATGTGGGGTGCTGAAGCAAGAAAAAAAATCATATTTAGTATAGTTTATATCACAGGTCTCTGAATTTCTATCAATAAGCCATTATGATTGATCAGCCTGTTATTGATAGAAATTCAGGGGCCTGTGTTTACATACATATGTTTGAAATTGCATTATCAATTAAATCAGGTAAAATCATCTGATTTAAATTATATTTGGCATATATTTCATAACGTAACGCTCATTTATATTGTAATATACCAGCGTTAACATAAAAGATGAGGTGTTGTTATGTACACCTTATGAATTTGATAAAGCACCAGGTTGTGGTTAAAAATATAAATAATTTACCAGGATTTGTTCAATAGGATTTTGAAATCTATAGTTAATAGGAAAAAGTTGATAATTATTTGAATATATATGCAGCCACTCTATTCCACTTCTATTCCAACGCATCCTAATTTTCGCATAAAACATGATTTTCTCAACACAATTCGTGTGATTTTTCTCAAGGGCGCAGAATAAACAAATAAAATCATTGTGCATTTATTGAAATAATTTGAATGTCGATCCTTTTCAATATAACGCATAAACCACAACAACAGTAAGTTAATTAAGATGTTATTTCAGATAACATGCTGTAAAAAAATCAATGTATGATACAGGGTTTATTTCTTTTACATTTTGAGCTAAAATATACATTTAATGCATAAAATGAAAAACCTAATCACAATAATAAAATTTACACACAAAAATAAATATAAACTTCTATCACAATACAGGTGTCCTTTTCCGAATGTTTAAAATATAAAGCAATTTATGACATTTATGAATTTTAAATTGATTAAAAATATATGCATTATAATCATCGTGATATCATGACATTAATTAATAAACCTAAGGATAACCCATGAAAGCAAAATTGCTTATTTAAACACTTATGAAATACTAAATACAACTTATATACCAGATGTTAATCGTTAAAAAGATATTATCCCTTATATACCTGAGACACATTTTATGATTATTATTATTTTTTTTTACTGTGACTGGGATATTGCATTTTTTTTCTTTAATTTTAAAAGTAAAATTAGCCGGAAAATATTAAACCTTATATACTGTATATTGGTGAACAGCTATATCTTTACTGTTATTTCATACACTATATTCAAAATTGATACCATAAAAAAAACTGTACTTCTTTTTATAAAACTTTTTTGAGTATTTTACATATTTAGAACATGTTAAAACAGAATATCATATCAGTTTTGCTGTATATATGATTGATCAGCCTGTTATTGATAGAAATTCAGGGGCCTGTGTTTACATACATTATTGAAATGCTATTTCAAAAAATATGTAAAAAAAAATTATATTTGGCATATAAAAAAACACTATGATACAGAAAAGAAAAGAAAAAAAGAAGAAAGAAAGGAAAAATTTGATAATTAGAATATATAAAAAAAACCAACAAACACAGATTCATTACAAGAAGAATATGTTGGTGTAATCGCATTTACAACCAAGGAAAAGTAAACTTTATCCTGACACAGTTAAATTATTATTACTTTCAGAACAGTAATTTTCAGATCCATTTAAAATCTTTTATATAAAAACATGTTATCAGATGCACGTATGACGAGTTAATTCGTACCATCTCCCACAACTTGAGTTGTTCAAGCAAATTCAGACAAAATTTAATAGTAGAACTAAAATGCAAACTTTTAGAGGTCCAATATGAACTCATCCACATAAAAAGTGGTACTTTGTCGGAATCTACTGCAAGATACAATTCACGGTAAAACAGGAGGAACCAGTTTGTGTGATAAAGAGTAAATTCCACCATCTGTCATACTCTTGGGGACTTCCAATGTTCGAAATATCAATGAAAGAGTCCTAACGTCAGCTGTTTCCACTACAATATACTACTATATTGCTTACACAATTGCCAAGTCCTGCAGAGTGATCGCAACAAAGAGATCGCTTCCATGGATTTCCAAGAGGTCGTGGTGCTCACAAGAAATGGTCAGCTCTAATTTGCTAATACTTGTAAAAAAAATTTATGTAAGAATTGCATGAACTGCTGTATTTACAAGAAATGGTATTCATGCTAGTACTTTAGTTATGTAATATATACTTATAGTATAGTAGCTCTATACTTTAGATGCATAGTCGTCGGAAGCAACTAAACCAGCAAAAAAGGTAACCCCCAATTTTCAATGCCTATATTATGTCTATTTTTGCCAAAAAATGGGGGGGGCTCCCCTAACCCCCCCCCCCCCCCCGGTTCCGACGCCTATGAGATGTATAAAATAAATTGTACTTGAGTTCCGTGCAAACCTGCAATCTGAATGCATGTAAAGAAATTAAAAGTTAGGATTTTGAATGTTGGAGGCTTCATTAACATAGCCGAGCCCGAGGGAAACAAATTTGAAAAACCATTATTGTTCCAAAAATCAATATTTAATTTTTTTCGTAGTTGAAACACATTTTGGATATGATATACACCCGGTGAATAAGTCAATTCTGAGAAAATATGAAACCGCCATTTTGCAGAGCGGCCGAAATCACTGATGCTCATAACTAATGCAAAATAATGATTTTCTATACTTATTTTTTTTGGTCTAGAATCATTGAACTACACACAGATTATCTATCTCAAATGATTTTCACTAAATTATGATAATTATTGTTTTATGTAGGCGATAAATGAGTCAGTTTTGAGAGAGTTTGAAACCACCATTTTGAAAAGCGACACAAATCAACGATGCTCATATTAACTAATTCAAAATAATTTTCTGAAAAGTAGGGTATTTTTTTTGGTGCAATATTATTGAATTACACGAAGATTACCTATATTTCAAATGAAACCACTGAAGGAATTTCACTTTATAATTCATTAACAGAATCAGGTTGAGAAATTTTGACTTTTTGACCGAACGTACGTTAATTAAATTAGAGAAAACACGAAAGCCATTATATTCATATCCCCCCCCCCCCCCCCCACGAAATAGGATTTTCATTGCTCGGCAATTTCCTAGTTTTTTTTTTGCTTGTCAACTTTTTGAATTACAGTAATTTTTTTTTCTCTGGCTGGCCCCCACTTTCAATCAAATTACTAACAGAAAGTACAGAGAAAACCGGGCTCATTTACAGAGTAATTTTGGATGTTCAATATAACCATATTAATCACATTTAAATTCTGATTAAAAATTATTTTAAAACTATCAATGATAAATTGATAGAGAAAATATATGAATTTTAAAATGTGTTCTTTAATACCACGGTCCGAATTTTATTTTGTCAAAATCAGAATTTAATCTTTTTACCGCGGCTGAATGTAAACAAACAGGCCAGTCTGGTTCCCTCTCCTGCTTTACCTCGTATGTGTTAGAAATATCAAAATCAGAAGAGAACTGATTATCAAAAATAAGCAAGGCGCTAATCATAATTTTTTCTTTGACTTATGAAGTTTTCAAAAAATCATTACTACTAATGTTTATTTTATATAGATAAAACTTCGTTTTATTTTTGTTGCTTTATTTAGCGTTTGTATTATCTCAAAAGCGGTTGAAATGTAAGAACTATATTCTCTCTCTCTCTCTCTCTTTAAAATAGGATTTTCGAGTTGGGGTCAATTTCCTTTTTTTTTGGCTCGTCAACTTTTTCAGGTAAGCCGGCAATTTTTTTTCTTTGAGCAATAAGCCCGGCTAAAAACGATGCTACGTGGCTGTTTTGATGAAAAGTCTTGGCATCAATAAAATTTCAAAGACGTTGCGTATATGACCTTAACTGTTAAAGCGACTAAAATCCCCGGGCATGCAGAAACCAGTGATTAACTTCAAAGTCAATGAAATTGAAATCAGTGTATCCAACAAGACTCAACTGAAAAATTAATAAATTGATAAAGCTAGCATATCGTCAGAAAGAGAAGACAAAACCACTAATAATGCAGAGTAGTTTTTCTAAATTTTGGAAATTCGAAATTATCCTAGGTTTTTATTTAAGATAAGGATCCCGCGTTAGGTTACATGTACACCATTTGATTACATTAGAAAACAGAACCAATGTTTAATACATACAAACAGCTCATTTATGGAAATATCCACAATAAGATAAACAATTCTGCGTATGTAAATCATTGATAGGATCCGCCACTTTCTTCTCTCTGGTGAACAAAACTCAGAAGTCACGTGATTCTTGTGTCATTAAATTAGAATACAGAGCAAAGCCAACGCTAGAAGTTTTGTGAACTGAAAAAGGTGAGATGTTCAGCAGCTTTTACGGGTGAAAATGTAAGAAAACTTATGTATGCGTATGATTTTCAGTTGTTAATCGTAAAATCTAAACAGCATTAGGATTCACGGGATTCTTTTCAGAGTCAATCAAGCGATTTGCTGGACTGGGAACAAAAGAACACAAACGGACCACCAAATTAGTCAGAGCAAACGGTGAGTACTTAGTATGCTATCTTCTACTAAGTTTGTTGACAAACATTAAAATGTGTAGTATCTGATGATTGTGTTAAAAATTCTTTTGATCTTCTAGTTCTTTCGTGGATCACGCCGTTTTTGCTCATGATCATTCTTTAAACAAAACAAAATCGTTTCATACGATTTCCTCTCTGTAAAATCGCAAATAAAATTCTTTATTTTAAGAATATTTAGTTTTTTTTTCTTTTATATTCCCGCCCGTTCCCACTTGATCGCTTCCACGATGATTGATAAAAAACAATGCAATGTTACAAAATTAAAATCATACTTATCCATGCCTCAACACACACACTGCCACTCTGGGTAGTGGACAGTTACTCTAATGATATAAATTCTCTTTTTGCTTAAAATAGTCCAAAGAATTCTTTAGCTATTAATAGCTACCTAGGTATTTAAAGCTACCAAAAGTAGCTATTTTTACCTACTTTATATAAGCATTTTGCGACCAAAAAACCAAACGGCGCAACATACTGAATACCATATTTTTGATACATTCACACTTATGATGAATACGACAAAATTTTGTCCAAAAAAATGATTACTTCCTGAATCTGCAATTT